TTCACGCATAAGCATAATAAACTTAAAAAAAAAGCAATTTTTTAAAATTAGAATACGCGTTCTATGGAAGTTGGATACGTCTATCCTTCATTTTTGCCCAATTCTTTGCTAAATCGTTTTATTGGGGGAGGAGGCTGTACACCCCCCTCACTTTCGCTGTTCATAAAAAAAGTGACCTTCATAAGAATCAATTATCAACAGTGTTCATATCAGCTAAGATAAGCATTGAACTATTATGTAGCCTGCCCGTTTCGACCTTCATTGTTAAGTACTATGTACATTGCAGTATTGCGTGATGCAACTCCTGTAACAAGTCTCGTGTGATATTATGCGTGTCAATTAAGTTTTTAGACTCTTTCCTCGATGATTTTGATAAGCAAGAAGCAATAAAATTTTATTATCGTTCATTCTGCAGTATGACAATCGTTTTTAGATGGATCTTTCAATCTGTTTTAGGTTTGTTGCCACTTTCTCTGACAGATAATTAAATAGTGATTGCACATCTAGAATAAATTGACTCTAATAGATCCTGAATTGAAACGTGACTTAAGAATATGTTCGAAAAGTTCCATGTGATTTGTCTAATCTCTCGATTTTCAACTAGTCAAAGCAACGACATCGATTATATCACTTGTTGTTATACATTTTGACGTTGTATTTTCGGTTTAATATATAAGACTAAGTCTATAATGCTCCTGCTTGATAATGAATTTACGTTGAACAGCGATAAAATAAAAATCATACATTCAGAGTGTTAATGTAATTTTCAATCTAACAATGTCTCGTACTTTTTCATGTTTCTTTTTTAAAGATTTCTTAGCTGTATCTTTGTTAAATCAAGTCAATGTCATTCCCATCCAACAAAACGCGCGTGGCATTTTCTTTGATAGCTTGTATCAACGAGAAAATATATTTCAACTCCACTTCTTTAGCCTTTTATAACCGCACTCAAATTATCTATACATACAACTGCGATCATAAAATAATTTACAGAGAACCGTGTCCCATCATCATAGTTAGTCGTTTTTACTTAGTCTGACTGCTTAGTTTTACATAGGATTCATGACTTTTTTTTATTTACAAGAAACTACGACGTGCAAAATTAAGATGGGCATCGAATGATTATAAATGTTTATTTGGTTCAGGAACGAAATATATGCGTTCACATCCTCAAGCAAATGATTTTATGTAGTCATCATACATAGAATCGATCCAAATACGCTTAGTTCCTTCGTCTTTATTAATAATCATTTATTGTTTTTCTGCCGGACAGATTCAAGATTTCGTTTATAAACTTCAAGATTTGGATGATCACGTGGTAACACTTTTTGGCCAATATCAACTGCACGTTTATATGAAGCAAATGCTTCCGAATACTTTTTCATGTTAGCGTAAACTAAACCAATATTATTATACGAAGTAGCCAATAGTGGATGATTCGCTGGAAGTTCTTTATTAAAAATATCATGTGCTTTTTTGCAAAATGAAAATGCTTTTGAATAGTTGTCCATACTATTATATATCAAACCAATACTGCTGCAACAATTCGCTAGATTCTTTTGATCGCCTGGAGGGGCTTTCTCGTAGATTGCATACGCTTTTACATAAAATGACAGTGCTTTCGAATATTCATTCATATTATCATAGACTAGACCAATGTTGTTATAGCAAGAAGCTATGTTAGGATGATCCGCCGAGAGATGCTTAAGAAGTATTGTAAGTGCCTTTCGGTAGAAGTCATGTGCTTCATCATACTTTTGTTGATTGTCCTTGATGTGCCCAAGCTGATAATACATATATCCTGTTTCGAGTTCATCGGAACTACGATTGAGCAAAATTTTGTATACTTCCTCAGCTTTGGCAAACATACTAAGTTTGATCATCAACGCACCCAATCGATGCAATGCCGATGGCCCTTTAATTTCTTCTCGCATTCGTTCAGTTAATTGATGAAGCTGTTTGTCATTATCACTTGTCGATGAGAGATGAACACACCAGATTCGATTGTTAAAGCCGCTTGGTTTTATATCATTAACGCGAAAAACAGTCGGCATTGAGAATAAAATTTCTCTTTCATATTCGGATTCGCTACACTGTTGTATAGCAGCAAAGGGAGTTGATGAGACCGATATATCAACTTTGATAATGAACAGAATACTGATTGACCGATGATCGTATAGAGCGTTTTCAGCAAATTTTATGGCAACAATTTTTTCTTTACTTGTTGATAATAAACTACTGAATCCGATTAATCCACCTTCTGTTTTTTTCAATTTTTCAAAATTTTCTGGCTCGATACCTTGACCACGATAGACAATAAATTCATTTTCCAACTCATTCGCTTGCGCTACTTGCAATTGCCTAATGTTTTCATCAAGACTGCGAATAAAAAAACCCATGCTAATAATAACATCCGTTTGTTGCTTACGAAGCGCTGTGTTAAGTGTTTTATAAATGAAACATTCTAACGTATACCACCATATAGGTGTCTCACTATTATATCTTCTTTCAAAATCTTGAATTTTTTTTAATTCTTCTACATCATCTGAATACTGTTGACGACAATATGTAAGAAAACTATGAATACTTTGCTCATCGTATTCCAACTCGAGGAGAATTTCTTTAATTAACTGCGTGTACATAAATGATTGATCAAGTTGATCTAAATCTTGACCAGATATATCATTTTCGGGCACGAAACTAATATCTACCGAGTCTTCTTCAAATTGGCGTGCTAGCTGCTTTATTGAATTACATAGAGTTGTACTATCGGTAAAAATACCTTGAACTTTGCACCAATTTATTTTCAATGACTCATATTTGAATTGATTTTGACAAAAGATAAATATAGTTATGAGCTGAGGTATACTATGAATACGAGAAATAATTTGTTGGCCAACAGAACCAGATACTATCAATGATACTTTTTGATTTTGAGATTTTTTTAGAAAATCGACACATTGATCAGTGTTGTTGAATGCATGAATATTACCCACAATTGATTGAAACTGTTTGAGTATATTAATATAATAGTCATCATCTAAATTTATATTCGTGTCCAACCAGAAGAGGATACAATCTTGGACGAGAAAAGAATCCTTTGAAGAGTTCACTACTTTAGCAGTGGTAGTGTGCGAACTGGATGTCGCACCAGTAGCTAATATTTGCTTCGTTGTTGGTTTACCTTTATTAGCAGGATACAATTGTTTAGATTTTCCGGCAACGGATACATTAGTAGCTGTGATCTGTTTCTTGTTATCCATTCCACCTATGCAGATTTGTGAATTCTGTATTGATGAAAACAATTTCGAGAACACCAACTAAGTAGCTGTGAAATACTCTTTTATTATATTGTTTTGGTTTTGCTATTCATCAGAGAATTTCTCGCCAACTCAACATTTTTATTGGCTTCTATAAGCATTTCTCTCAGAATAGCAGGACGTATCAATGCATACATCAATAAAGACACAGCAAACAAATAAATAGAAATTTGAAATTATTTTTATTCCATCTGAAAAAAAGTTATTATAACGTATTCATCTGCCTCTCTAAAATAATAGCTTGCTTAACAATCGACATAAACTCATAGATGTACTCGCCGGATTTTTGGATTAATTCAAAAAAATCGCATTATATCTGATCCACTTTGAAGTTTAGCAATATCGAAGACATGATGGAATGAGAACCGAATTAGACTAGTCGATATGTAGCTAAGCTTTCCATGGTATTTCATTCTGACGGCAAAGTAAATACAGAAGATTTATCTACTGACTACGTGCGAATGATTTCAGTAGTTCTTTAACTTTCAATCTGTCTAATGTCTTCAGTAAAATCCGTAGAATATATTATGTAAACTACTATATGTTACATTCATTGTTTATGAGAAGACATAAAATATGTGTTTCTATTATTGCTCGTTTTTCATTCTTGACAATATCAAAATTTCAAACGTATGAATTAATGTTTATCAGATGAAATATACTTTTTTTGTCATTTGAAAGCAGAGAAAGAAGCAATATAAGAAATGCATCTCTATTTACACAGTATATACTTACATAAAAAAATTCATCGGCAGTTGAAACTGTCGTAAAAAAAAGTGAATTTTGCCGTTGTCATTCTTGATTTCAAATCGTGAAGGGTGAAAACAATATTATTACAAAAATAAGTCGCATTGTGTTATTGTTGTGAATACGAAAATATTTTCATATTCTATTCAGAAGAATGGGCTCTGCATGCTCTTGTTGTAAAAAGGCAGAGAAACAGTCACTACATCCATTAGAACAAAGCGGAACTCTATCATATATTGAATCTGAAATATCGGAAAGGCCAACCAAAGGTGAACCGGATAGAAGAAAAACCCCACTTATTCGACGTAAACCTGATAATCAATCGATCCGAACCAAAAGTCCGCCAATTTTACCTGAAAAGCATGATTTCCAACGGTTTACCAAACACGCTTTTAGTTCATTTGATCCTTTAAAACTTGTTGATGGTTACCTTAATGAACCGCTTGTCACTCTCGAAGAAGCCCTTCAGCCATTCCGTGATCATATTGACCGATTATCTTACAATATAAAAGAAGCTAAAACAAAATGTTACTATCCAACACAACATAATCTTACTCGCGACGAATCTGCTGCCATCTATATTTACACAATGAAATGGGGTTCCTATTGTGTCTATGATCATTTGCAAGCAGCTTGGAGCTCTGAAAATCGATCTCAAATGAAACCATGGTTCAAATATTTGAAATTATTGAAAAGTGCATTAAACAAATTGCCCGACTCAAACGAAGAAGTTTGGCAAGGAATACCTCATAATGAAATGGTTATAGAGAATATAAAGTCAAATTCATCACGCCTCTATTCTTGTTTGGGCTCCTGTTTATCAGATCCCAACCAAATTAAACTCTATCTTCAGAAAAATCTTAATCAGAAGATAATTCTTATTGCTTATACAAATGGAAAAGCAAAATTGATCAGGGATTATACTGCAAGTTCGTTGAACGAATATATTTTAGAGCCTGGTGTGAAACTGGGCATATCACAATTGAAAGACTATCTTCTACAGTCTGATATGAAACCAAGTGAATCAGCGTTCAATGAACATATTCTACAGTCAAGTATGAAACTGGGCAAATCGAACTTCAATGAAGTTTATGATCTTAACACAATGACTATCCATTTGGTAGCACGACAAAGTAAGTTGGCATTGACTATAATTCTATTTTCTTCTCTATGTTTGTCATTACATAATTTACTGAATGAAAATGCTACCGATTAACAACTTTTCTTTAGATTAAAATATAGAGCATAGCTTCTGCACAAAAATATCTGCTTTACTTATTTAGATACTCCTACACCAATCATTAAAAAAGCACCAATCAAGATCAAGCCACGAAAGCTTGAAAAACATTTCGTATGTGGAAATACACGTAATTGTAAAAATAAAAATTGTTCGTAAATCAGAACATCAATCTTTCCTTTTTGGTTATTCGCAGATGGATAGTGACATGAACAAAATATCTGAAAGCATATATCGTTGTCGTGGAAACCACCCCATAGCTCATTGTATTGGAAACGATGTTCTTTCGACTTTATCGTTTATTCTACGATCATCTATTCTATGATAAATTTCAGATATTTTGTATTGGCAAGTGTAAGATATTTGAACGAGAGTTTATCCATACTTGCGGACATCACTGTAGTCCTACATTTCAAAATCATTCATCATTCATGTAGAATTGGATCGCGCAAAAGTATGTAGAAACTTTTATATTTAATTGAAAGAGATAATTGAATACTTTTATGAATGCTTTAAATGTGGCCAATATACACTTCATTCATCGATGATGCGAACTTAGTTCGCATGAGGAACTCTGAATCATTGTTTTCAACAACGAAGAGTAAGTAAACTCGGTTATTTTGCTAGTGTACGTGAATGTAAAGTGTGTCATGGTCGTAGGAGTTATTCATTTTTTATGTTATTATCGATTGATTCCTTCTCTATTTGATCAGTTTCTAGAAGAAACACGATAAAGGAAGAGACATTTTATTGTGATAGATGTTGTATTCGTAGTAATTCATTTATTATGATTGTCGCGATCATAATGAGAACAGTGGGTCGTCTTTTTTTTACAGACTAACATATTAGTGAACAAAATGTTAAATAAATATTGAAAAACAAAGTAATATTTTTCACAGATAAGTACTTTGTAGATTCAAAATCAAATGAAGCTGTAAGCAAATCACCAATACGACCTATAGCAAGTTTTTACAAATCGTTATGGAAACAAAATCTTTGCGGTTGCCAAGTTCTACAGCTCAAATATCTTTACTTTTTTCTTCAGCGATAATTCAGCATGTTCATTGAAATGCAAGTGGGTAAGTGCTGAGTAGGTGTCGAGGTGCCAGGTACCAACACTTCCCCCCTGTTGAAATGTGACACATAGGAAAATCGATGCGTTTTGATTGCATCTTACACAAATGTCTTGATTCTAACACAATATGCATTGTAACATAAGCTTGTCATTGAGATTATTTTCGATTTTTTTATAAACGAAAAGAGAGCCGGGCTGTTATTATATTTCAAATACTGCTGTTCTGTTTCAAAATTTATCCTACTATGACCATTTGATTAAAACCTCTCCTTATTGAAACTTGCATCATGTTTATTCTCAATAAAATCCGACGATGAATTTAGGATTAATCTACTGAATGCATGCTTCTTGTCCTTAGTTTTCAAGATCAAAATAAGTAACTCATTCCACAGATATTTGTTTGCTAATTTCTATGTTAAATATTTAAAAACAGAATTTCTATTATTTTATTGAGAGCATTGAATTTTATTTCAATTTTCATAGTGATGTTATGAGCTCATTTCTCTTTCTTCTCATTTACCTAGTTTTTGTTTTTGTTTCATCATAACAATCCTTTCCGACCCTTGTTTCTAAAAATGTAAACATCGACGACAATACTTTTCACCGACGGCATTGTTAAAGTATGCAAAAGGAAGCAATAATAAAGAACATGACTTACAGGCATTGACAAGAGTGAGAAAAAAAAACATCACAACCGTCGTCATGTATTCTTTCGTATCAAAATCTACACAATCCATTGTATATATGAAAACAAAAGAAATAAGCGTTAAATGAAAGATTGTGCAAAATCGATGGGGTAAACAGTAGATAACAGAGATGTTCACATGGCACGGTTGCCCTGCCTTGTACCCTGCCCTGAAACAGGACAGGATAGATCAGGGAAAATTGTAGGGCAGGCTGAAAGTTATACCCTGCAACGTAAAAACCCAGTTGTTTGAATTTCCGTTTTGAAGAAGTGCTTTCTTTAGTCTGCAAGATTCAAAAATAAAAATAGGCTCCAGTGAGCGACACCAACTGATAATCAGAAGTCCCTCTATCTGACCCAGTTCATATAAGCCGCCAGTCGTTCCAACAGAAGCTGCTCAATCGATGGTCGTCAATTTTACTCGTTATTTTACGCTCAATAAGAACAAGTGTCTCATGAGTTTCTACGCAAGCTGTTTCAAAATATTTTCTTCCGTTCTTGAGATAATAAAATTTTTCTAAGAGAATCCTCATCAGAAAATGACATTTTGTGATTTTTTCTCAGACCTATATCTCTTCAACAATATATTTTTTTCGCTTGAAGTTTTTAGTGTATGTGTATCTTTGGTTGAGATCCACATTGAAAATTTCGGTTTACCCTACTTTGGTCGAAAGGTAAAAATGTCGAAAGTAGAAATGTCGAAAGTAGAAATGTCGAAAGGTAAAAAAGTCGAACGGTAAAAATGTGGAAAGTAGATATATCGAACGAGAAAAATGTCGACAAGAAAAATTTTCTAAGTATAAAAACAACGAAAATAGCTGTATCAAACGATTGGTAGATACATTTATATAATGATTATAGTTACTGGTTGATTACGTTACCCATTCCTTTCTGCACTTGAATTCCTGTCTTTGTCGGCTAAAATTTAACAAAGACGCCTTTGTCGTAAGGATTATAGAAAAAATATTCAACAGTAAAGCTTTGCTAAACAGTATGTCGATTTCTCCGGATTCAAGTTTTGATGCAGATGAAAATTTATCCTTCATTACATCAAATAAAGGTCACCCATTATTAGTTATGAATGAACAATTATACAAATGTAATAAGAAGACGGCCCGTAAAAAATATTGGATTTGTATTGTTAGTGGATGCTCAAATGGTAGTTCACACGGATGAAAATGATGTTTATTTATACGGAGGTAAATGTGATCATCATCATCAATCAAATTCAAACGTCATTCAACTCATCAGATCTACTTACTGGTTTATCATTAGTTGTTGGAGCAAAAAAGAAACATATAGAAACCCAATCTACGGCTGAAGAATAGTTATCATCGAGCATCATTCCGCATTTTTAAACAAAAATTTTGCTCCGAACGTTTCTTCGATAAATAAAACTTTTTAAACAAAAAAATATTTTTATTTTTTTACGCGCACAGAACTAAAATAAGAAATTTTTTAACATTATCAGTCGAAATTTTTACCTTTCGACATTTTTACATTCGACCAAAGTAGGGTTAACCAAAATTTCAAGCAAAATGAATGCATCTGTAAAAAGATTTAAGTCTCAGAAAATATTTATACCGCAAGGATGGAACAAGATTTTTGTTGAAAAAGTTTTTCCATGAATTCATCAAACACTTGTCTCTATCATGCATAAAAGTATTAGTTAAATCGAGCACCGTTGATTGAGCAGGGTCGATCGTGGTTTATCTGGACTGGCTCTAAAATAAAAAATGTTCTATGCTACAATGAGGAAAATGCATTTTTGTTTTGAAATATATTTAAAATTACAGCACAAACATTATTTTAATTCAGCAGGGTACCCTGCCCTGTCCTGATCAGAGGACCGGACAGGGTGCAAAATATCACCCTGTGGGCATTTATCGGTCGTTGCGATTGTTTTTCTAATCTCTGTTCACGTTGAAAATTCAGAAGCAAGATCTTATGGCCACACAAAGATTTTCATAATGTTATAGTGTGATCTTTCAAGAGAGCAAGATCTCACAAGGTCATGTAAGTTTAAAGGCTCAATCTTGTCAGAACTTAATATCTGGCAGTTTGACTCGGGTAATATTTTAGTGACGAGTCGAAGTCGCGTCCAATTTTCCGGAAGGGAGTTGAAGAAAAATAAATGAAATCGTTCTCCCAAACGGATGCTATATAGCAGCCTTCGTACTACAACCAATGTGTAACCTGCCCTCTGTCGTTTCGCGAATATATTGTCCTGGTGATTCGCTAGTTAATCACTACCAATAGTGATGCGAATCGTATTTTCTCTCTTTCAAAGTTTGAGAACTTCAAAAGATAATTGCTAAGTACGGATTGTATAACTCTTTTTTTAATTTTTAAGCAAAAATATGAAAACTGAAGAGTATTCAAGAGGGACACACGTGACAAATACTACTCATGAAATGAACGAGTTTCTGAATCCGAACTCCACGATTGATAGGCCAATAAAACTATTTTCATGAAAGAAAGCGACAATTTGGATTAGAATCGTAATGATGATATGTATTTGCATTGTCTTTCAATGGTATTTGAAATCATCAAGGTTTTATTACCTCTTATTGTAAGTGTCCTATAATCTGGACTATTGTTTATCAGCTACGATCAGTATCAATATGTTCGTATTTAAAAAGATGATAATGAATATTTTTCATCCCATCTGCATTTAGGATAAGTGAGACAAAAATAACAAATTCTTCGCAATCAGTTATTATATAAGGGTACCAATGAATCCACGAACTATCTTTTGTATGGTAAAATATAAATAGCATGAGATAATGGCGCAGTTTAATATTGCACACATATGACAAAGAACGTATCATCGATTAGTAGAAACGAATACGCTACAAAAACCTTGCCAATGCTGTTCGTATCCTTTGTTTCTATTGTAATATCTACCTTCATTCGATTGACGCACATGTATCTGTATTTATAAATACGTGAACAGTATTTCTTGTACGCGATTCATTGGTGACGTACCTTTACTTCATATTTTCTGTTTTGCTTTGTTTTACTAGATAAAATAATATATATCATTTTGAATATATTTACATTCTTTTTGTTTTGTTGTAACACATGGCTTCATCAATTCCGCAGTTTCAAACATTGCTAACAGTAAATTTCAAATCATTTTCAGAATTTATTTTAGTTCTTCGTTGTTTAGGTCGAAGAATTCCGTAAATTAGTCCATAAACATTTTGAAAGTAACTTAGTTCAATTTTGTTTCCTCATATCTTAATTTAATTATGTTTGTTTTTTTTTTGTATAGAAAACATATCTGAAGGTCAATTATATGATATTAGAGATCTTGAACGTTTTAATACAGACGATGCATATACTTTAATGTTTATACAACATGGCCAATTCGATACAACGTTTAATGAAGATCGAGCACTACATTGTTTCGATGGATCATTCAGTTGGCGTAAACGACACAATGTTTATGGTAGAACTAAATCTTTATTTAGATGAAAACTTTCAATGCAAATTTGATTATAGATATTTCAACGAATGAATTTCCTGCTGATTATTTTGATCGGCACGCTATTTACTTTAAAAATCATGATAAATTTAACCATCCAATATGTAAAGATTAAAAATTTTTATCTAATTTAATATCCATGCTTTTTTATTATCACTATTAGTGCATTTTGTTGTACGTAGTCTCCATAAAGGACAGGAAGACAATGAAGCAATTAAACGTTTTATTACGTATCATTTTGAAAAACATCAACGAGAAACTCCTGGCCAAAGAATTGTTATTCTTTTTGATATGAGTGAAGCTGGTATTGGTCACATTGTAAGTTAAATTGTTATCTTAATTGGTTGCACATCGTTTTGATTCATTAATTTGAGTCCGATTCACCCAAGATCAATTAGAAACGATATTAAATGAGAGAGTATATTATTCAGTTGCAAGCTATTCTCTAATCTAGAAATTCATATAATCATAATTGCTGATACTACGTGTTCGTGATGCTTCATTCTATGACATCTGAGCAAAAGAGAAGCTTATCAAATTGTTTAGCCTTGCAATATACTAAAAGCGAGAGACTTCTATCTTATGATCATTTTCCCGAATAATAGGAGTAGTGGGCGGTTCAGTAGCAATAGTTGCATTCGTACCACATTGACTCGCTAACATTACTGAAGACAGTAAAAATCAATTAGGGACTAATTTAAGAGACATCATTGAAAGACCAATGCTTTTTGTTTCATTTCCTTTTAGGATTATGATTTGGTTAAATTTATCATTTCCAGTATGCAAACCCTTTATCCAGGTTTATTGGGTATATTTCTAGAAAATTCGTTTGATTACGATGAATTTGAATGATGAATTTTTCTTTTTAAGCATATCTTCTTATGTATAAAATGCCCTTCCTTCTATCAGGTGATCATTCGTTTCTTTTATTCATTTTTTGGGAGGCAACTTTGCTTTTCTTTAGCGGTTTGGCGATTAATTCGTACGTGGATGTCGAGTGAAGCTGATCGATTTGTTAAGTTTGCTGATGCTAAATCAATTATGGATTTTATTGCGCCTGATCAATTATCAAAACAAATGGGTGGTACTGCAGATGATAGTTAGCTATCTTTATCGGACAACTTTATTCCGTCTTTTTTTTTGCACTGAAGACAAACGCATATTCATCTTTACTTAATACTTACTCTAATATATAAAACAAAAAACTGTCATGTGTCGTGCAACAGATAAGATAAATCTGATGCTCTTCATTATTTTATTTTCTAGTTTGAATTCTATTTTTAAAAAGTGAATAATTCGAAATTTGAGTAAAATATTTCTACCACGATTGGATGCAGCTGAAGTTCATCGACAAGCATGTATGATTTCTTTTGTCTGTTCTGTAATGTTATTTTATTCTTAAATACAAAAGTATATGAATATCGTGACTGATCATTTATCGATTATACTTTCAACAAACGAGACAGTTCATAGAATAGTTGTTGTCTTTTTTTCTATTCTATGAAAAGAATTCATTGAAGAACAAAACCACTTAATTAAGTTCAGTAGAAACCATAGAGAATCGACATTTGTTAACAAAAGAATAAAATCTAATGCAGCGAAGTACAAATTCATCTTTAACTGGACCAGGCAAATCTTCAACAATATTGAGCAATCTACTTATTAAGGATCAAAAAGATATATCTGCTACGAATTTTATTCAATCATGTTCATATCACATTGAAAATATTGACCGCAATGCTGTTATCAAGTAAATAAATCGTACAAATACCATTCAAATAGTTACTTATGTTGTTTCGTTTTATCAGACGTCAAGATATGGAAGCTTGCTTGAAACGTCTATCGAACAGAAACGACGTTCACGGTGTCATTGTAGCAACCATGGATGGTCGTATCCTTTACGATTGTGATACTTTAAAAAACTGGATTCCAGTTTTAGCACCTCTATGTTCATTTGCTCGCCATCTTGTTCGTAATAAAGATCCCGATGATAGTATACAAGCGCTTCGTTTACGAACAAAAACGTATGAACTCTTGATAACCATTCATAATGAACAACTATTAATTGTTATGCAAATGTTACCGATGAATGATATTAACCATGCGGATAGTAGTGACATTATCGAAGAAGATTGGGATGCATTTTTGAAACGAATACAACAGAAGAGGATCGAAAATAAATAGAAAAAGTTATTCACGCTTTCTCCTTTTAATTGAACGAGTAAAATTTAAGAAGTTTAATTCGATAGTTGAATGATAATTAATCATGTGGGTGTTCATAGAAAATAATCAAATAGATTCGACTGTATGCCATTGATACTACATTTGAACTGAGTATTATGAATGAACTAGGGTTGCGTCTCTACGTAGAAATGAAGGTGTGGGTGTGGGTGTGGTTGAGGTGATCACCGTGTTCTCAAAACAGGTAACGTTACTAAAATAATTAGAAAGTGTTCTTCGTAAGTTCTAAACTACTTTTCGTTTATTATGCATGCCTAATTTATTTGTCCGAATCACTATTTCCCTCTAATATTAACATGATAATGCAATTAGTGCTAGTTTCAGCTTTACACTACAATGTTCGAGCTGCTTTAAAAAAAGCTTTGGCTCTTCTATTACAAAATTTTCGACCAATTTTCGTAGACCCGTTTGACTTGTATCGATGAAAAACAAATTAATTATTTTTAGATTTTCTTAAAATCTGAATCTATTTGAAATACTGTTTACGTTGTTAGTATTGATTTAGTTAAGTTATCACTTGTATCTTATCAATGTAAGCATAGGCCAAGATCCGCTGACAGTCGTGAAAGAAAAGAAGAAAACTTCTTATCAACGATTTTATCACACTTACCTTCTCATTTTTCATTCAAGCAGTTTTTGTGACCATGCAATTTAATTAGCAATGTTGTACGAGTGTGTTCATTAATCTACGTTTAGCTATTAATGTCTTTGCTGAAAAAATTCTCTTTCGTTATTATTTATTCGACTAAAGAATAAGATTAAAAACAGCAGCTAAGAAGATATCACACAGTGACAGTATGATATGATATCGAACTTTCACCTCCGATATTTTTGCACTAAAATTTATTTGCTTTCGCCATTTCATTTTCTTTTTTTCGCCGATATAAAAGTAAGGTGTTTTATTTTCGCATTAGTCAGTCTTAACATTTTTTTCCAACTGAATCACAAGTTGTTATTTGTAAGCATTTGTTTTATCTTGTGCAATAATTATTTTTATTGATAGTATAAATTGTCAATATTTCTTAGACTTTCTTCATTAAATCGTATGTCAATCTGAATGTTAATTTCCAAACGTATAGCTAAACCAGTTCGTAAAACTTGGAAAAACGTAAGTTTATATTTGATAGTTGGAATAGATAATAAATTCTACTTTCCCGTTCCTATAGCAACCGGCATCATCACTTGGTAAAGCCGTTCTCAAAGATTGATTTGCATCTTCAACACTAAACACTCGCTTGTTTCAAATTCAATTTTCAATTTTTTCATTACTTAATTCGTCAAGGTCAATTCTCTGACTTTTTCTTCATTGATCATGTCTGACACTGACTCTTATTCCAAGTAAATTCAAGTTCTATTTACTTTTTGCATATAAAAATAATGTCTATCTCTTAATCTTCGAATAGTGATAACGATTCAAGCAGTACTTCATCGTCTAGTAATGGTTCAAATGGCTCGTTGTCATTTTCTGAATGGAAAATTCAATATAAAAAAATAACTGAGTCCAAACCGAAAGGTATTTGGAGCGGATATCAGACACGGGAAGAGTTTTTGACGATGCATCTTCGTTAACCAATCATGCAGAATTCGTCATCCAAGTGCAATAAACATGAACTGCACTCATTTCTCTCTCTCTCTCTCTCTCTCTCTCGTTTCATTGAGTTTACCTTTCATTTTACTTCAATTAGTTTGCCTCTCTATTAAAATAAACTATTTATGATTATAACATTAATTAATCTTGAAGATATTCATTTAAAAAAACATATTTATCGATGATAGAAATTCATTTAGAAAGATGACTGAGTTTCATACATAACAAAAATTGTTTTTGTTTGATGACCCATAACACTTTTTAAATAAATATTGTACTTATGTATTTTTTAATGGAAAAAACCTTATTGATAAAGAAGTACACTTATCAAGTCAAAACAATCTCATATCATTGTTTCATGACAAAAATAGTCAGCTAGTGTTTATGTCAATAGTATGTACTTTCATCATTGAAAATAAGATATTTCGTAAGGAACACGAGCTGCTTTTTTTAAAATTTGATCTCATAGGGAGTTGCGTAGCATCGATCAGACGCTCATCGCATGACGTGAGACAATTAAAAAGTACATCCTACGATTAAAAGTTTTCTTATCATTTTTAAATACCCAATTCGCTTGGAAATATCACATGACTACAGTCTGGCTAATAAAAATAATATTTATTCAGGTTTGCGCACGTATCACTGCCGTCGCTTGTATCATTCAACGTAAACTATAATCCCATATTGGTAAATTAAAGTTATTTAGTAATATAGTAATTCTAAATACATAATTAGCTTTTAAGGGAAATGTCAAATTAAATAGCAGTAAAATTTATGGATTGAATTCATAAGTATAACTTTGTTTTTCATCCTCATTTACTAATGAAAGAATTCACTACAGCTCTATTGGAGATCGTTCGTCACACCTGAGATAAATAAAATTTTGTAAAAGAATATCAAGACTATCACAAATATTCTAAGAAATAAATTGATTGAGACGCATAAATATCATGACGAAACATAAGTTAATATCGATCAATCAATGGCACTAGCAGAATCATTCATTACACTCATTCATTCGATCCAACAATATGAAATACTCACTGCTACTAACGCTTATTCATACATACATTACTGTTTATTGTTTCTAGTATTTACAAAAAAAAACCATTTACATATTCCCTCAATGCTTTCTCCGTTATAAAAAATACGATAGACTTATTCCTTCTTTTTACTTTTTCGACTGCACCATATCATAAATTTGCCTTTCGTATATTATTCATGGCTACACGTTCGTTTCTATTCGTTTTATGCTTAGCTTTTGCTTGTACTATTGATAGTCGGCATCTTGATCATCATCATCATCATCATTCAAAGCAACATCGAGTTCGTCACTTATGGGATATAATAAAAGGAAAATTTATTGATAAGTTTAATTTCGATAATCGTCATTTTCGTCAACATGAAATGCTTCTTTTTCCTGATATTGGATTTCAATCGTTAAACAATAATGATACATGGAAAATCATAGTTCATGGTTGGAAATATGAAAATCCTGTACGAAAAAGTTGGCTTGAAATTGGCGCAGATGTATGGATGGCAAAATTTACTAGAAATCTAATAAATCAAAATGATAAATTAACTATAAATGGATCAATTAATTATGATCGACTGCGAACATTTTTTGTTTCTGATGAATCAAATAAATTAATTAAAATTTTAATAGGTGACCATGAGAAGTCATTGAGTACAGATAAGTATGGTCAATTTTTGGATCAAATTGACATGACAAACCAGGACGTACAAAAATTAAAAAAAGAACAAGGAAGTGATAATGTGATTAACTATGAAGCTACGAGTAATGATAATCCGAAATCAATAGGAATCATACGACTTATTGAGCCTAGACATGGCATTTCAGTTATTAGTGATATTGACGATACAATTAAAATTTCTGAAGTCTTTGATAAAATACGTCTTATTGCCAATACATTTATTTTTCCTTTTAAACCTGTGCCAGGTAAACATGAACGAAGTTGATTTTGAAATTATTTTCATTTCTTAGGCATGTCGGATCTATATCAGCAATGGCAAAAAAGCAATAAAAATTGTACATTTCATTATCTATCAGGTATGCCTGATCAATTATATACATTAACACAAGAATTTATCGACGATAATAATTTTCCCGATGGTTCATTTCATATGAGACATTTTGGCTGGGCCATTGGAACTTTATTTGATTTTATTCATCCTGAAGCAACATTTAATCACAAAATTAGCTATTTAAGATTCTTTCTATCGAATACAATTCGCGATTTTGTTCTTGTTGGTGATAGTGGAGAAAAAGATCCAGAAACTTATGCGACAATTACAAAAGAGTATCCTGAGCGTATCCGAGCTATTTTTATACGAGCAGTGAAAGGTGAATCACCGAGTGATCAACGTTTTCTAAATACTTTTCAAAGTATACCGAAAGAAAAATGGTTGATATTCGATGATCCTAAACAAATACCAATTGATTTATCGCGAGCACCAAGAGCAATATTTTCGTAGAAAAATAAACACCGTTATTAAAATCCTCTTTTTAAATTAGTAAATAAAAACTATGAAAGAAACTGAAGCAAACAACGAGTTCCAATTAAAACAATATTTTGATTGTTTTGGGAACTCAGCTAGTGTCAATACTTCAATGTTTGACATGATGTGCGATTGCAATACATGAGTGATGTTGAAAAATCTGCTGTACACATTTCTTAGCGATTGCAATACATAGATAGGTCGTTTTTGATTAATCGAAAATATAAGTAACAAAGACGGCCGCAAAATTATTGACGTCATCTATAAATATTTTTTTAACAATTTAATATTATTCATTCAAAAGCAAATATTAGCAGCTGCAAATGTATTGACGCTCGTTCTTTTCTCCGTTCTTTTAGAGAACAAACGCAAAGGTGAATTTGAAGGCCAAGTGAATTGAAAGCAATAAACTCAGTATGATATGAACTGCGTGAAAGAAGTATCGGCATCAAAGGACTAGCTACATACAAGTATTTAAAAAGAATGAAAAATTCAACGAATTATCAAATTTATTCACCTGGAAGAGATTCATATGGTATTTTCGTCGATGGGCTTTTTGCTTCCTATCTATGCCAGATGCATTAATACATTAGTTATATATGAATGCTCTATAAATAAATTTTGTCGTATGCCTTTACCATCTTTTAATTGGTTGAATAGGATTCAAAATCTTCAGTACGAACTTGTACAGTTCATTAGCGAAGCTGTAACTTATGAATCGATTTCAAATTTGTATTATATGCACTTCGAAAACAATCTGAATACATACATTTTAGAAACAACAAGAAAACCTATTTTCAACTTGGCATAGAAATCAGACTTTGAGAGAAATTCTATCATGAAAGCATGCAGCCAATTTATGTGTTTCTCTCCTAACATAAGATTATTTTAAAAGGCATACTTTTATCAAAACTGTATCATTTCTTTCTATCCTATTGGATTTGTTCAACATTACAATATACATTTCGTACATGTACTTAATCCGGATACAGTTGTGTGTAGCTGTAGCTGTACGCGCATAATTTCTCTACGAATAATACATACTAAGATGTGCACGCGCAACTGAATCGATAGACGTATATGCCCTCACAATGTGTATGTTCTTGAACAGAATAACAAAAAATAATCACCATCGTTATATTTTGTGACTTGAATTGTGATGCACAGTGTAGGCGGCAGGACAAGAACTGTCAACAGGGAGAATGGAAAAGAAGAAGCAAGATGAAAATTTTTTTTTTCATTCATGTCACCATAAGAATCAAGTAAAGTAAAATGAAGATACATTCATCTGTAACAGATCCAAATGGTGTCATTCATCCATGGGTATTTGACTTTGAACTTGCATTTTTCGATCAAGAAAAATTTCAATGGGTCGAAAAAACAATGTACGATTGGTGGTGGTTAAGTATTGTTTATACTTTATTTTACATCGTTGCTATATTCATTGGTCAACAATGGATGATAAAACGAAAAGAAAAATTCGAATTGAGAACACTACTAATCACTTGGAATGCGATGCTGACGATATTTAGTGTTTGGGGCGCATGTCGATGTGTACCGGAATTTATTTATGCTCTACAACATCATGGATTTTTATATTCGATCTGTGATGCGAGTTATAAAAATGGGATCACTGGACTTTGGTAAGTTAAAACTACAATATTGCTAGGGAAATATTGTTCAATGTTGGTTAGGACTTGGTTATTTATGGCATCAAAATTACCTGAAACTGTGGATACATTATTTATTGTGTTGCGAGGACAAAAATTAATATTTCTTCATTGGTATCATCATGCATCAGTTCTTGTCTATTGTTTCTTCAGGTAAATTATTTTATCCAGTAAAAATATTGAAGATTATTTTCAAATTAATTTCAAGCTATTCAATGTTCGTTTCAACTGGTCGTTGGTTTGTATCAATGAACTATGTCGTTCATTCTATTATGTACGGATATTTTGCATTACGAGCCGCTCGTGTACGTGTTCCTCGTTTTCTTCAAAAATTCATTACAATTCTACAATTAGTTCAAATGGTCTTTGGTTGTTTTGTTAATCTTGCAGCATTAAACTCTAAACAACGTGGATATGAATGTGCTACTTCAGATATTAATATAAAATTATCGTTACTATTGTATGCTTCTTATCTTATTCTTTTCGGCCATTTCTTTTATAATAGTTATCTTCGGAAAGATCCTTCGAAAAAATCCAATGGTAAAACAGAATAGTTCGACACTGTTTTTTTTGTTGTTGTTGTAATGAAAGAACAAACAAACTAATATGTGAATCTCAATATTGAATAAATAAAATGAAAAACCCTAAATCTTTACATTTGCAGACAGAGACGAAAAAGTTATTGCTGCTTTTGAAAATTGTTACTCAGATGTGAAAATTTTAATAGAATAAACAGAGAAGAAGAAGTCAAGTTAAAGAAAAATTTTTCAAAATCAGTTCAGTCCATTTGAGGCCATTGAAGTTTGATACGTTGACCTATTTCTCTATGTAAAATAGCTTACGTACATGTTTGTTCAGTGTAAAGAAGTGTTCTTTTGTTTTCTTTTTATTTCCTACGGCTTTATTTTGTCTTTGAACAGGTAGTACAGCCGCCATAATTAACCTCCACTTAAAATGTAAGCATAACAGCGGCACACTGATATCGAAGAAGTATGATTTAGTATTTAATTTGTGTTTAATTTAAAGTTTAAAAACTCACTATTACCTAGTGTAATTCATGTCGGATAAAATCTTATCGACTAGTAACCTGTAGAAGTTTCATATTGACAGGATTCAATATTTTCGAACAAGCAATCTACTATCGGTTGTTATGAACATGGCGATCGTGCAGCACGGAATAATTCAACTTACTACAATCACTATTCTATTCAATCGAGATGGAATAGTAGGAGTTCAAGGTTGAAAAAAAAGATTGAATGTAAAAGTGCATTTATAATGAAAGCTCTCCATCCATTCATTATAGCGTCATTTTCTTTGTCGATGCATCCCTGTGCATACTGCTTCGTTTGCCTAAAGTGCCTGTAAATAGATGCTTTTTAAGAAGTACTCCTGTAGAATTTTAATAGCCGACTATGTTTCGTTTATAAATTCTTGATAGCTGAGTTGATTTTTTTTTCTAAACTTTTATTGAATAGAATTGATTTATTGTTTAAATAAAAATATTTTCATACCCACTGTCTATTATCACGGCTTTTTAATTTAAAAAAAAATGAAGATGTTGAGATCTAATTAATTGTCTTCTGCTTGTTTATTTATAGATATTTTTTAAATCAGTTAAAAATCAATAAAACTCGATGTTCGAGCTTACAACTATTATTTTTGTTTCTAAAAATTTTCATAATGATAAATTTGAAAAAATAAGAATATTTATAATAAAAAATTCTTAGGATCCTTCTTGAGTAAGTTTATAATCAAATAAACTTCCATGTTCGGTGAACGTTTGAAATTCGGTTCGCTCCGAAGGATTCTCTTGTTCTTCATGTACTTTTCCATAACCACCACCACCAGGTGTAAGTAAAATAAATGTATCCTAAATAAAAATAAATGATTCATTTATTTTCAATTCAATTCTAATATAACTTACGCCAGGTTTCATAGGTACAGAAGATTTTCCACCTAAATTTATCACTCGTCCATCGACGCGTTTCAATAGATTCTTTCCACATTGACCATTTTCTCCTCCGCATAAACCATAGGGTTGGTATACACGTCGTTCTGTTAGAATTGATAGTGTCATTGAACGACGAAATAATATTCGTCGATCAACGCCATCACCTCCATGAAATTGTCCTTTGCCACCTGACGAGGGACGTAGACAAAATTTAAGTAAAACAACCGGAAAACTTCAATAGAAAAAAAATTTCTTTAAATAATAATCAATCATCATTTCTTCTATCTACCGTTTCTCAAGAATTTCAGGATCAGTAATTCGAGTATTGGTCATATGTGTATGAACTCCTGAACGTCCACGCCAATTAGGTCCCTATATTAAAAAAAAAACGTTTATTAGGATAAGCTACTTTTACAAAAAAAAATCGCATACGGCACCAGCTCCACCAGCAACTGTTTCATAATAACTCGTTGCTTGATTATCACCCCAAGTAATATTATTCATACATCCCTAACAATGATTTAGTTTTAAATAAAAAAGATTCTTCAATTAAATCTTACTTGTGATGCAGCACAAGCGTGAAATGCACGAAGAATAACATCGACTACACGTTGACTGGTTAAAACATTTCCTCCTGAGAAAAATAAAATATTATTTCATTTTATAAGTAATATTGCTGTTGTACTAACCAACAACTGCAGCATCTTCATGCGGATCAAGAAGTGAACCTCTGGGAAGAATAACTTCGATTGGTCTCATACATCCCTTTATGAAAAAGAAAATGTTAACAGATTGTAAGCAAGAAAATTATTTTACTTGATTTAATGGTATTTCATGAGCAATCATAGCTCGAAGACAATAGATAATAGCTGAATAAGTAATTGAACGCGGTGCATTCCAATTGTACCATACTTGCTCACTTGTACCCGTAAAATCAAATTTAGCTTTACGCTTTTTATAAACAAAATGGAACAATAGAGATGATTTTTAGAGGAAAAAACCCTTCTTACTTCTTGTCCATCTATGTCAATACATAAACAAATTTTAGAACCATCATCCATATAATCAACAGCTTGTAATCGAACTTTCTCTTGATTCTCTTTTTTCGATAGAGAATGTACTATTGTTTGTAGTAAATCCTTTACAGCTGTTTCAGCATTATCCTAAAAGTTTTATTAAATATCTTAAAATATGAAAAAATCTTCAAGCGACAAACTTGAATGTATCCCATGTAAGCTTGAACCAGTTTAAGACTATAAATATCGATTAATTCTTGAACTAATTTAACGCCCTAATTTTAAATTAGAGATTATGATTAATAAATAGTTGATAATATGTTCAGTTAGATTACTTTCAGATTGGCAGCTATTTGTGCTTTTAAATCAGCAATATTATGCATTAATGTTCTCGTTCCTGAACAGTTTTCTTGTTTTCCTGGTTCATTCAATCGTTCAATGAGTTCTGAGATAATAGTTTTTTAGAAGACTTATTCGGTTAATTTTAATGCTATTTATACCTGTCTCTTTAAATTGACCTTGCTCAACAATTTTAAATGAAATAAATTGTGCGCCTTCTTGAAGTAGAGATGTTGAATTAGGTGGCATCGAGCCCGGAGTTAAACCACCAATGTCAGCATGATGACCACGACTGGCAACAAAAAATACTGGTTTTTCTTTGTCATCGTCATGAAATACCTAAATATATTCATCGATATTGTAACTCAGTTTACAGCGATGTTCCTACTGGTGTAATGATAGTTAGATCCGGTAAATGACTTCCTTAAAAGAGAAATCGGTCTCTGAAGTAAAAGTTCTCTTTGTATTGTCTTCTAATTACCTCCAGCTGATGGATGATTTGACAAAATTACATCTCCATCACGTAGTTCGACGCCAAGATGACGTAACTACAATTATAAAAATTTTAATTTTAGGATAGTATGCATTCTATTGTTTACTTGATATTGTACAGCTTCTTGCATTGCACCAAGATGTACTGGAATATGAGGAGCATTGGCAACTAAACCACCATCAGGTCCAAAGACAGCACAACTAAAATCTAGACGTTCTTTGATATTGGTCGAAATAGCAGTTAATTGAAGAACACTAAATATAAAAAAACGAAATAAAGGATAAAACTGGCTTCGAAAATCATGAAACATATCATTATCCATCGATTTGAATAGATAGATGATGCTTCAAAACTAGTCGATGTTTAAACTGCTGATCAAAATAATCGTAGGATTGAAATTAGTAGTCGATGAGAATGGTTGTCAAATGGATTAGTATTCTAACGAAATATTTTATTCTTTTAAACTAGAGGTGTCGGGTTAGCATTAAAAGTGAAAATAATGCATTGATTTATTTCTCAAGGAAAATTGATTAATAATAAATCTTTAGAATTAAAAGTAGTATCGGTGTTAGGAATGATAAATTAGTGAATAAATCCGCATTAAATATTTTCTTTACCATAATACACCAATGCATTATTTTTATTTTCAATGCTAACCTGACACCGCTATTTTAAACATCATAATGAAAAGAAAACAGTATTTTATCGTCTCTTTTTTTACACTGTTATTTATCGTAGATGGTATCTATCTTAAACTTTTGAGCTATTTAGTATTCATCAAACAATCTAAACTTTTTTTAATCTTACCGACCACACTGTTCTGCAATACTCATGAAACGATTTTGAAAAATTGATAGTTTAATAAGATCAAGTTCAGTTGATTTAGTATCTTCTTTCATATGTTCAATGGCTATACGAATATCGCCACAATCTGTTACTGTAGCTTCGCAATTTGGTTCAACAACGATGGTACTATTATAAGAAACAGAAATTATTTGTATCTTTCCTTTTGAAAAACATTTATTTTCTTCGAAAAATGAATTTACCAACTAGGATCAATAATAATAGCTGGACCGGATATACGATCATTAGCATATAGTTCTTCAACAGCATAAACAGGTGTTTCAATCAAGCCTTGTTCGAAATAACATTTGACTTTCTACGAGAAAATAAAGTTACAATGTTGGATATGAAAATCAATGATTTACTTTTAATTCTTTGACAGGATTTTCTTGTTGTCGAACATCAATTTTTCGATCGATGGTCATCGCTGATTTTGCTAATGCACGAATTCGAATATCATCGACAATTATTGGACGACCAGGAAGTATGAAGCCGAATTGATCTTTATATTTTTTAAGAAAAATATTTATGAATGAATCAGCTGTTCCTTCAGTGCTTGCACACATAAGTGCACAATCTGTTCCTTCATATCGTAGATTTAAATATTTTTCTACAACAACCGATTTACTAAACATAAATCACAGACATGAACTACTGTTTAAATTTAAAATAAGAGTTAACGTACCGATCATGTCCTTGTTTATGAAGTTCTTCGATTCCAAAATTTGAGAGATATTTCAATCGATCATTGATGTTTGACCAATTCTCTGAGCTTATTACTTTTCCTGATGGCTCTTGCATTTCATGAACAACATCAGCTAATGCTAAACCGAGAGCTGAGAGAACACCAGCAAATCTATTGCAATAAAAGTAACACAACGAAAATAAGACTAAAGAAACGCAACTAACCGACTAATAAATACAGTTTTCATGCCTAAAGCTCGGGCAATCTGAAAATAAAATAATATTCATATATACGATTCAACCAAAAAATATCGAAATGTGTAGGCTTCTTACATTGAATAGTTTTACTAGGCTCTGATATTTCGAATTAAAAGAAAACGGCAATAACGCCTGTCAATACTGATAATCAAAGAGCAAATGCGAAGCCCTGAAAACGTTTCTTAGCATATTAAACAGAACTATAAAGATATGCACAGCCGCTCATACTCTCAGTTTTTATTCGATTGCAAGGAAGATCTGAGTGATGCAGATGGATGATATCCTTTAAAGATATGATGAAAATGACAACATACCGCACAAGCATGTTGACCACCAGCACCACCAAAACATGCCAAAACATGATCGCGAAGATCGAATCCTTTTCCCTAAAATAAAAATGATTCTTAAAGCTAAAGAAAAATCCATTTTAATTAATTTACCTCAGTTAATGCTCGTATTGGACGACTCATACTTTCATTAGCTACACGAACAAATCCCACAGCTATTTCTTCAATACTCAATGTTTTCTTTTCATTTTCTTTCAAAAATGAATTTATCTATATAGACAAAGTCATTCAATTATTACACAATGATTAAATGAAAAATAAGCACTGAACTGTTGCTGCTAATTCTTGAAATTTAGTTAACGATGCTTCAAAATCTAATGGTTCATTGCCTTGCGGACCGAACAATGCTGGAAAATGATCTGGTATCAGACGGCCTAGGATTAAATTAGCATCTGTCACTGTCAATGGTCCACCTAATAAAATAGTCATAGAAAAGAATGCCATCCAAATGTAAAATGTACAAAATAAACCTTTTCTATAACATGCTGGACCAGGTTGAGCACCAGCTGATTCTGGGCCAACGCGAAATAGACCTGAACGAAAAGTTAATATACTGCCACCTCCAGCAGCTACTGTATTAATGTCCAATTGTGGCGCTTGAATAGTAACCGATGCAATTGTACTTTCGAGAACATGATCAAGTGAACCATCAAATCGACTCACATCTGTCGATGTTCCGCCCATATCAAAACCAATGACTGGCTGTGAATCGATATAACTTGTTACTGAATATCCAATGACACCACCTATTTTTAAAATAAACAACTATTATTAAAACAGGAAATATATAAAGAAAATCTACCTGCAGGTCCAGAAAGAATTGCACGTGATCCAGAAAACCTAAGAAAAATATTTTTAATAAGAAAGAGTAATGTGTTCAATGCGATTTATTTATACTTCTCAACTGATGTTAAACCCCCATCTGACTGCATAAACAGAACATTAAGTCCATGAAGTTTGCTTCTTTCAAAAGCATTTGAAAATGTATCAATGTATAGTTTTAAACAAGGCGTTAAATACGCATCAGTACAAGCTAAAAACGAAACAATCTATCTAATCAATGATGATGAATTTGTCAGAAAACCTGTGTGAGCTCTTGGTACATATTTTTGCATAGCAATTATTTGATGTGATAGAGATACATTGGTAAAACCCATATCACGTGCTATTTCACCAACACGTAGTTCATGATCAGGAAAACTATATGTAATTATAATTGAAGATTTAAATATTGCAATTGAAATAAACAAAATCTTACCAATACGAATGAAGAAGGGCAACAGCAATCGATGAAATACCTTTTTCTTTAATGCTAAGCAAATCTTTACGTAATTGTTCTTCATCAACTGCTTTCCATATTTCAATCTATGATAGAAAGTAATAACAAAGAGAGTAGAGAAAAATAAACGGTAGAAATATTTCAAAAGTCTTCTTTGACTAATATTATAGAAACATATGATACGTATGTAGCAGAGACGATTAAAAGTTCGTGTATAAATTGCTGAGCTTACACAGACTTTCAAATAATCGTCTTTATTATTCGACGTAAGTTGTACCATTTCAACTCGGGAACCGGAAAGTTAAGCACTGGAACAATAAGCACCGATAAAATGAGCACAGGAAAGTTAAGCAAGAATAAACAAAACTCATACAGATACAGTGTATTGATTGGCACAATAAATTTATTTACATTTGGTGGAACTCACCTATATTTTCGAAGAAAATGGTGAGTGTAAGTTTAAAAGCGAGATTTTTGCGGCTCCCCATCTCATCCCCTCCCCATTACAGACATTAATGAGTTTAACATTATTCTAATTAGGAGTTTGACTAATCAGACTGTTAGTTCTTCCTTTTTTAATTACAGGCTACACGAAAAAAGCAATTCTTGCCCGTTAGAGACCATAGGGTGCGGGTGTGGGTATCACTAAAAGGTAAAATAATAGTAGCACCCACGCATCCAAACGCACAATTAATTGCGTTCTCTGTATTCAGTCAGTGTGATAATTAGACTATTGTCCAGAATTTGTACTTATTATGTTTAAATGTTGTTATGTTATATATGATCTAATTAACCAAAATTGGTTTATGTTTATTCATTCTTTTTTTAAGGCCTTGTTTTCTTTCGTCATTATCTTTCCTGTGCTCATCTTTTCTCGTGCTCAACTTTCACCTCGTATGGAAAGCTTTTTCTTCTATCCTCTGTTCTATTGAAAGAACTCATGAACATATTTATTTATCTTTCCTACTATTCCAACTTTTTTTGTATTCTAAAATGAAAAGATTCGTATTCAAGAGAAACTACGCTCTGTCATCACACGCAATTCTTATCGGAATTTTATGACAGAATTCGACATACTTTTTCGCCTGTTGTTGCTGTTGTTTGTTGAATACGTCCTCGTATTTCATCAGTTAATTTACAATCATCACGAAAAAGTACAACTCTTTCTTGAACTTCAACAACTTCTTCATACACAACATCCGGTATACGAACTGACTGAATAAGAAACAAAACAAAATTCTTCGTCTAAACAATTATTGTCACGATAAAATCCTACTAAATCAAATAATTTCGGTCGAGATTGATTTCCAATATGAAGTAAATCACGAAAACCATCCGTCACAAGTAGAGCAACGCGTTCACCTTTTCGTTCGAGTAATGCATTTGTTGCGACCGTTGTGCCCATACGAATCCACTCGATATCAGTCGGATCAAGTGGAAAGCAATTCTAAGAGATGGAAACAAAAGTAATTTGATTTTTGTAATATTGAAGAATCTAACTTGTTGCAGTAATCGGCGTATGGCTTCAGTAGGTGCATCTTTATATTTTCCCGGATCTTCGGATAATAACTTCATTGTAACAATTTTGCCATCTGATGTACGAGCAACAACATCAGTAAATGTTCCGCCTCGATCAATAGCTACCTGTAGACGTCCCATTGTTTTAGATTTATATCTTAAATTAAATGTTCTTTTAAACAAAAACTAAATCAATTTTTTTTTGACTTCTCCAAAGGAAGTCGATTAATGGGAACACTTATAAATAACACGATAATAAAGGAACTAGAGTCGGGTGACCTAATTCTGCCGGTAAAAAAGATATCTTTTGTATTTCTTTTATAACTCGAGTTACACATATCGTAGAAAAGTCATTGTTTCTTTCCGAGATAGAGCCAACATTTCTCTATCGAATGATATAAGATTATTCACAAAATAATAAACGAATCACATCAGGGAAGGGTGACAATAGAGAGGGGGTCAACATTCATTCGATTCTTATGTATTCCTAATTCAGCCGGTCAATGTATTTTTTTTTCCTAATCCTGCCGATTACATGGAAAACTGCAGTAAATTTTAGAAAAAGCTTATTATTTTCATGAAGTTGATAGAATATATTTAAAAAAAAA